AATGATCATTTGCACAAACGCATGCGTGCATGACAAGCTCCGTCGTACAAGCGTTAGATAGTCCTAAAACCTGGCTGTGGCATGTTCAAGGCGCAAGGCGTGAAACATTTGCAGTTGTTAGGTTGTTATACTCGATACCTGGAAACGGAAATACAAGACTTGGATGTGGCGTTTTGCTGTTTGCTGAACGAGCACCAAAACTTGTAAGCACATCGCCGAATGACAACATGCACTAGATTTGCTCGATCCATAAGGGCTACGGACAGTTCTGGAATACACCGGCGACGTATGTTCCACAGAGAACCGATATGGCACCGCTGAGCTGATTCTGTCCACGAAAAATGATCATGATCTTTCCAACGCCACCATCAATCCAGAGCTCAGAGTCTTCATAAGCGTTCAAGAGAAGTTGACTTCTTTACAGTACACACCAATGACATATGTAAGACAGAGGTTTTGGATGCGACAAAAATTTCTTTTTAATCCGATGTATCCGTTTTTGGGACAAAGCCATCATCAACGATACTTCACAAATAACCAATTAATGTTAAAATCCGTTGTTATTTTTCTGCAAATGGTGAAGGGTTTCCAGGACGAGGTTCTGAGAGGCACGAAAAACCAGTAGAAACCAGTATAGGCTTAAGTAAAGAAAATAATCCTAGGTAAATCACAAAATTTTGTTATTTTGCAGGAAAATTTATGAAAATCTTGAGAAATGATTTAGCTAACTACCTACAGAGAAATGTGCACTACTTAGCCACACCTCAATTTTTTACGGGACAAAGTCAATGCATCATGCCAAGCGCGTCCAGTGGCTGCACATAGTGAGCAGCCCCCTCCCGCTTCCTGCACATATATGGGTTATTGAAAAATAAACATAGAATTGTGGCTTTTCCCATCCGTGATCTACCTGAGTCATTTCTCAAAAGTGAATTCATTTACACTGCACTGCGATTTCGCCTCCTTCACAGAGCAGCATATTTTGAACCTTAATTTGACCTTCTCGCATACTTGCACTACGCACTGTTAACTCTGATTCGCCAACGATTGTCATGCAAACTTCGTTCCCACCGTTACCTTGCACTCTGACTGATCAAATGACATTGTTTTGGAATTTGCCAATGGCCAACTCGGTTTCAAACATAGATTATCCCTTCTGGTTGTGAACGTCAGTGGCCCAGTAAGCGTCCAGATAAAGGCTGATTCGTTTTACTAGTTTTTTCTTAGAAACGACGCCTGATTCGTGTGATGGTGGTGAATGCAAATTGCGGATAAGAACTCATCAGTTGCTA